ACTTTGCACAGTTTTGATTATATCATTCCTTGGAGAATCAGAGTTTCTCCAGTACGTTTATGTCAACCAAAGCTAAACAAGAACACTTTATATGATCTTTCATAATCTAGTTCAAATCTATTCATCTTCTTGGCTCCTCATAAATCATTCATGGCTTTAAAGTCATATGTATATAGAAGAATAGCTGGGATAACTGTACTGCTGAAGTCTGATGGTATATTGAAAGGAATAGTGAATGCTTAAAATTTTTTATATTTTGACCAATTTTGCATGCTTATATCTGGTAATATGAGCAACTGATTTGAGGACAACAATACATAATGGAACAACCATTGGTGAATTCCTACCATCTTCTCTAGTGAAACTCTGTATTATCTCTCATGTTTTATTTAATAATTATTTTGTTATTCTCTTTAAGGTTTGAACAATCTTCCATTCTTGCATCTGGTAATCTGAGCAAAGTAGTTGAAGATAAAAGTATGTAATATAACAACCACTGTTAATTCCTATCATTTTGTTTTAAAACCGTGTATCACTTTTGATATTCTTGCTTTGTTTTGTTTATGTCTGTGATGTTGGTATGTTGCTATTGTTCTTTTTTTTACTACTATATTTAAAATAAAAAATTCATTATTTCCTTAAAAATTCAAATACACTATAGTTCTTCTTTAGAGCCTTTATATTTATTATTTCTTTACCTTCAATGAATGCACATATTTTCCAAAGAATGCCATTTTTTTTGTCTTCTTAAAACAGAGTTTCTCTGTGCAGTTCAGGCTGGACTTGAACTCACTTTGTAGCCCAGGCTGGTCTTGAACTTGCAAAGATTCTCCTCCCTCAGCCTCCAGAGTGCTGGGACTATAGGCATGAGCCACCACACCCAGTAAGAATACCATTTTAAAAGACAAACCAAGAGCTCCATTTTTACAGAGACTCTTCTCCAGCTCTTCTGGTTGGAAAAAAAATCTTTTGATTGGAAATTTAAAAACTCACTGTTTCTCATAGCAATCTTAAGCCACTGAACAAATTGGTTTATGCTCAGACTTTCAGAGTGTTTGAACAAATGGAAACAATATCTTTCATGTTTCATAAGTATCACTCATGCAACTCATGAAAATAGTCAATATGGGGCAATAGCAAAAAAGAGAGTAGACAGAGTGCTATCAGGAGCAGAAGAAAAGAGTTGCCCCAGGTCGATAGCAGTAGTGTATGGAGTTATTAGTTTCTGGATGTATTTTAAAGGTAACACTGACATGATTTACTGAGAAATAGCACTTGTTGAGTAATTAAAAACAAAATAAATTAGAATTATTCCAATGTTATCATTCTGAATAACTAGAAGATTGGGGTGGGTATTAATTGAGGTAGGTAAAACCTGGAAAGTGGTCATGATGGCAGAGATGAAGAGCTCATAGTTAGACTTGTAATATGTGAGTAAATCAGTAGATGTAAAATTACGGGTTTTAGTAGGTCACTGTATATGGAAGTCTGGTATTAAGGAGAAATATCTGCTTTGTAAATAAAAGGGCCAAGAAGTGAACTTTAGGAGTTGCCACTATCAAATGGTATGATATTTGAAGACTAGAGGCCTTGCAACTAAGTAAGATCTCATAGAGTGTAGGTGCAGACAAAAGAGGTCATCAGGAGGTTGATCTTGGTGCAGTCTGTTGTTAAGGGATGAAGATAATACAGAAAAGGAGAAGGAGACAAAGTGAAGAGAAAGGGGATGGTGTGTGTGGCAGAAGGATATAACTATGTAGCAACCTGAAAGCTAAGTACAGATGATGTTAAAGGTAGGAGGATTGGGGCTGGGGATTTAGCTCAGCGGCAAAGCGCCTGCCTTGCAAGCGCGAGGTCGTGAGTTCGGTTCCCGGTACCAGAGAAAAACCAAAAGGTAGGAGGATTAACTGTTCAAACATCCCTAAAAGACAAAATAAGATGTACTTTAGAACACAGTCTTTAGATCCAACAACACAGCAGTCCTTGGTGAATTGACAGGAAAAGTTTGAGGAAAAGTGATGGTGTGAACCTTACCAGATTGGGTTTAAAGTATGAGCATAGAAGAATTGGTGAAGACAAGTGGTAGTGAAAAGAATAAGATGAATATATCCTTTGCAGTGTGAAGAGATAGGCATGTTTGATGGTAGTGTTACTTTGGGGCAATATTCTAGTAGAACCAGAAAAACTAGTGATGTAAAAGTCAATGAGTAGATAATGTCAGTTATGTCCTTAACTAGGAAGGGTGGGTATCTTTAATAGTTAAAATGGAAGGGTGAATGGATTCAAATATGGCAAGAAGAGGGCCACAATGGAATACGGCTACTGATACTGGCAGGAAGGTGAAGCAACAGTAATATCTTGTGGAATTACTTTTGTGATTGCTTCTGCTTTTTAATTAAAAGAGCGTATAGGAGTAAGGATCAGAGAAGTGGATGCTTATAGTTTGAGAAAAGAAGAGATAGTGTAATTAATGTTTATGTGAGTAATAGAATGATTAGGAAAAGAAAGGGAGTTTTGAGGTGTTCTATGGTCCATCTGAAGTTCACAGTCACCAGGGGTATGTGCATATAATGGTCCCCCATGTAGTCACCTTTAGCTGCATATATATTAAATTAGAGTTGGAGAAAACTGGATCTAAAATTTGGTGCTTTGCCTAGTGAGTGATACGATTAAAAAAAGAAGGAATTTGGAGGGTTTTAGAGGTTTATGCAAGAAATGATTATAATAATTCTTATGAAAATTAAACTGGGTGCACTGATCAGAGAATGTCATGCAAATAAGAAACAATGCAAAGTCAAAGACTACCCAGGGATTACTGATTCTCGTTCTGATTGTTGAATGACTTGGGAATTGGACAACATTTGGACAGACAGGAGGTAGACCTGGATATTCCAACTCTCACTCTAGTTCCTCTAAATAAATGTAAGGGAAATGACACTTATTTCTTATAGTTCATTGCCTGATAGGAAGGGACAAACCCACCATGTGTGGGAAGTAGAGGAATTAACTAGTATTTCATGCACACTTCTTTGTGCCAAGAACTTCCCATGTGGTATTTCATTTAGATCTTGCAAAAGTGCCAGTGAGCTAAGTATTGCCATTCCCATGTTACAAAAAAGGAAATTGTATCTCAGGAACTTGCCTAGTGTTGGCAGACATAGAAACATTCAAATCTTAGTCTCCTGACTTCACAAATTCTTATTATTATCACTAAGTCTGAGTTGATTAACTTAAGATATATATGTAAGTAGAAAGCTTATCAAATGCACCGGGCATTAGTTTTCAATTCTTTAAGTTTTTCCAGTGACATAACTTATAATAGGTAGATATTTAATAGGTTCACTTTATTTCTTCATATTGGAAAAGCATGCAGTAAATATGAAATACCAACACAGATGGCTATGGTAAAATGCGAGGAAGAAACTCATAGAATATATGCATGCTGTGCTATCATTATATTTTATAACACCAATACTATGTGTATTTATAAATACGAACAAACTACATCTGGAATAAAGTAGAATGATTGCTAACAGAAATTGTATCTACCTAGAGTACTGGCATTGAGGGTATGGGGTAAATATTTAATTTCATTTCTTGTTATATATAGTATTTTTTTGAAACTCTGAAAATATATTTGAATGAGCATAAAGTGCATGGATGTGTATACTAGAGTGTTTTGAGTTCTTCAATAAGTCAGTAACATCAGAATCCATGCTTATGCAGTTTTATCAGTTATTAGGTTTGATGGTTGGTACTATCATTCAATTAACTGAAATGAATAAGTGTCCCAAGCTAAACGCAATGCTGCTGAATACACAGTACAAGATAGCAATGAGATGACACCTACACTTCTTTATTCTTCTAAATAGTTATATTCTTTGCCCTCAGTATTGAAAACCCACTGACAGTCAAGATCCGGCATTTGCATCCTGATACTTCCTTCCATTCTAAGGCACAGAATAATTTGGGGGAAATTTCACTTTTCTTCATTTAGTCTTGCTGTTGAGAGAATGAGGAGCCTGAATTAGATCAGCAGTTTCAATTTGGCCTCAGAGCACTTTAGCCATCCGTTATTGGGGTGAGTCACCTCATTCTTATAAGCTTCAAGTTATCGTGTCTGAAAATGATGGAAAGAGCAGTGATTTCTTTGCAGAGAAAACCCAAAATAGCACTTAGGAAAGCACAAAGAGAAATATTGTCCCTGAGTAAAATCTCAAAGAACAGAGTCTTAGGACTCCAGCAGAAGTCGGGATAACTAATATCTTTATACCTTCCACAGCCTGTTTGGTTTCCCTTTGAGAACGTGACACTTTATCCAGGCCTCCACAGCATATACTCTGTAAGTACAGAAGGAAGACATGAAGTCATTTCAGAGGAGAGAAATGTGTGAACTGTTAAACAGAAGGAAAAATGTGTTCAAATTTCAGTTTATTTCTGTGCCAAAATATTCCTTTTAGATGAGTATGAACTCAGAGTCCAAACCAGACATAAAGAGTTTAAAGGTCAAAGCTGCTTCATCATTTCTCTTTTTTATAAGCAAATTCTTATTAAACATAATCCCTGAGTAATGCAAAGCCATAGTTCATTGATGGGTTCTTAATATGATGGAAAAAGCTGACTTTCAGATTATTGAATTTGTAAGACATAATATAATGAGTAGAAAAGCAGAGATGAAAAATGTGTCCCTCTTTACCAGAAATGAGGCCAGATTTTTTTCTTTTGCTCAGACTTACAAGCATTTTTATTTTTCCATTATAATTTTTACTACTTTATTAGAGACAATTATTCACGACCGTGAATTTGAATGACTATTATGGAATTGTTGCAAGTATACCAATCTCTTATTCTTCTCCAGTTTCTGTGGTGAGCTCACTTCCTGCAATCATCAGTAAATACTTTAAATGCAACCTTGAGGATAGCCTTGGGATTTCTTGGAAACATTCCCTGATAAGTTCTAATGTAAAAGCACAGTAAAACACTCCTGCTCTTTGTTCTAGGCAGCAATGACAAGAATAAAAGGCAAGAAGCGATGGGAATTCTAAACATGGGGTCAAGCCCAGTAAAGCTATGAAGGAGTAAATATGCACAACTGGTAGAGGGACGTATGTGGACTTGATGCATTACCCTTTATATATTGACCATGTTCATAAATAAACAAAAAATTAAGTGACACTCAAGAAAATTCTTCAGTGTTACTTCTTTTTATAATTCAGCCAAAGTCCTAAAATTCTCTCCTAACTAAATAACAAGAAGACTTCAAAGTTTTGAAAATCTCATTGATGGATTAATCAGCTTTCCATCACTGGAACCAAATACCTGACATACACAGTTTGGAGGAGGACAAGTTTACTTGATGCACCATTTTAGTCTACGATCAGTTGGTTACAAGGCAAAAACATCATGGCTGAGGAGTATGGCAGAGGAAAGCCATCAACTTCATGGCACCTAGAGGAAAGAATTTCATTGAGTTGAAAGCAAAAGGTTGGCAGGGATCTGTTACTTTTGATGGTTCTAAGGTGGTATTTAGTTCCTTGCCTTCTTCTGCTTTTAAAAACCATGTGAATTCCTTGGTTCATGGCTCCTTACACCATTTCCCAAGTCATCAGTGCATTGTGTATGTGATATATGTGTGTGGTTCAGAGATAGACTATGAAAAATACCATACAGAGAATTACAGTGAATCTGGGACAGTAGGTATTCACTCTGTGGAACAATATCCAAGTTTCATGGAAGAGCCTAGGGCTGGAGAAGAAAGAATCACATACCTTAAATAATGAGAGGCCAAAGAAGGGCAATAACCAATACTGACAATGGCGTTTAGAAAAGATTTGTGGATTAGAAGAACTCCAAACTTACACTTAGATGGTTAATGTGTAGTTAAATTAGTACTTAGCATGTATACATTTGAGAATTAGCAAAAATAAATTGATAAATAGTTAGATATAAACTTATTAAAGGCAAATTGCAGGTATTATTTGCTATTGCCATTTTTTATGATATTGCTTTAAAATATTTGTTGACCAGACTTATACTTCTAAGCTCTGTGCTCAACAGACTTGGTGTGGTGGTTGTTCGTGTTATGTCAATTTGACTTGAGTAAAAAATTGCCTAGCACAGTGATGGTGAACCTGTTAAATCTTTCAATGGTAGCAAACAACCAGTTATGGTATAGGTTCACCGCCACTGACTAGCAGAATATTACTAAATTATGAGTGTGCCTGTGGATGGCTGACATGTAGACTATCAAACTGAAAAGAGAAGAGCCACACATTTGGGTGACACCAACCAAGAGATTTATAGCATAAGCAGAATGAAACGGGAAAGAAGAAGAAAGGATTTCACTTTTGTAGGAGCTTTGGTCTTCACCATTGCTTTTGGATGTTGATCTACAGTTTCTCCAACCTTCTAGTACACACTCTTTAGCCTTCCAACCCAGACTCACACAGTCACTCCACAATGAGTTTCCAAGCCTTCAACCTTTGATTGCTGCTGGATCCTCTAGCTCTCTAGCACACAAATGGCCATTTTGTACTCTTTCACCTCTGATGGCACAGATTACCATTGGGATTTTTCTTTTTCTGATCATGTAAGCCTACCTAATGAACCCTTGTATGACAATACATCTATTAAGTATGGATGCTGTTCCTCTGAAGAACCCTAACTAATATACTTGGATACCCTCTTTTGTGAACAATGTAGTTTCTCGGAAAGTCCTTTAGGAATCAACACGCATTTTCCTCTTTATCTCTCCCTCTGCTGCACTGCTCCAACCAGAGGCTGCTCTAGCCACCCAGGTCCTAGGGCAAGTGACACAGGCAGGGTTTCAGTTCCCTTGCAAAGGATGAGTAAGAACTATGTCATTATGGATATACCAAGTTACCAAGTTGTTGTTTACAAGTTCCTCAATTCTAAATGTTAAAACTATTTATACTTTGATAAGTCATTCCAATTTCAAGTCAAGTTTCTTCATCTATAAAATGAGTTGCAAACTCTGTGTCAAAAATTATGTGTATATAATTTCTGTGCATTTTATATATTGGTGTATAGAATGGAAATGAATAAAATAAACTGTATTAAAACAAATACAGAGCCTGATATTCTATAAAAGTTAATGTTTCCAGCACTTGGGAGGCCGAGGCAGGAGGACTGTTGCTAGTTTGAGACCAGCCTGGGCCACAAAGTGAGATCAAGGCCAGCCTGAACTGCATAGCAAGACCCTGTCTCAAAAAGACAAAAAAAAAAAAGTTAATGTTATGCAGCAGAGATTTAATATGTATCAAGAAGTGCTAAATCTTGTGCAGTAGACAGTGACCATTTGGAACTCTCAGAACAGGAAGATCTTGCTGATATTACTTTAGGCAGCATTACAGAAGATTTCTATGAGCTGAGCTCTACAGGTTAAGTAAGGACACAACAGACCAGCTATCTTTCCTTTATTCTCTTCCCTCCACCCTCTCCTTTCCTTCTTTCCTCCCTTGATTTACTTACAAGGGGTAGTTGAAAGATACAATGAATGTTCAAATTTTAAAAAGCTCATTACATATAATATATAATATAACAACCACTGATAATTCCCATCATTTTGTTCTGAAACCCTGTATCATCTTTATTGTTTTTGCTTTGTTTTGTTTTTGTCTATGTTTTTGGTATTTCACTACTGTTCTTTTTTGTTATTCTCTTTAAAACAAAATTTTTAAAAAGCTCATTATAATAAAAGACATTTTGCTGAGAATTATGTGTGCTTGAAGTGAGGGGGATCCTTTGAGGATGATTAATTGCAATGCATCTTTTACTGTAATAAACTTTTTTATGTAAACACTTACAGTATTTTATGATTACCTTAAATGTTTATTACAATTCCTGTCAAATAAAGCCATTACAATGGTGTGTCTTGATCCATCTTATTCACTAGATCTGATACTATATGACTTCTAACTCTCCCCCAAGGTCAAAATGATTAGCAAGGGGCTTTTGAATGGATTCAAGCCTCAAGGAAGCCATGACAGTCTGAGTAAAGACACTCACAGAGGAGGACTTTCAGAATTGCTTCAGAAAGTGGGAAGGACACTGGGATAAGCGTGTTTGAAGCAAGGGGAGTATTTTGAGGGGGGATTAATGGCAATGCGTTTCTTACTATAATAAAATTTTAAAAATCAAAATTCATTGTATGCTTTTACTGCATCTTGTATTTTAAAAATCATTGGGCAAACCTAATAACTGGCAATAGCCCGGCTTTTGTTAGGGGATTAATGGCAGTGTCCAGTGCAGAGTGGAAATCCCATCTACAAATCCAATATGGGAGTGGGGTAAAGGGGTAACAGGTTATCACACAGGAGATCAAGAATATGAGTGGGTCTGTAGGAATGAACATTAGTTTTTCGCTAATAAGAAAGGAAGTAGAGATATAGAAAGAGATCCTATTTTATCAATAGCTTATCTTATGCATATAGATTGGTATAGACATAAAAATAATCATATTTGTATGTGTTTCCACTGACAGAGGCTGGGTGATCTAATAATACAGTACCAATTTGTCCACCTATAATGTAGAATTTATTTCTTGGTCCCATGAAGATAGAGCACTCTACAAAGATTTAAAATGAAACAAAACAAAAGGCATTTCAGAAGGACAGATAGCACCCAGGAGAGTTCTAGGTGAGCATACCTACTAGAAATACATCAAGGTGCCACTCACCTTCAGACTGAAGAAGAATTTCTGTTACATTAGGAGGCTTAAAGAAGCATTGTATACCAACATATTCTACAGCTAAAAATGTAATAACAAAAAAGAAATATCATGCAAGAAAGAAACCATTATTTTACCTAATCACATTTCAATAGGAATTAAATAGTTTGGCTTTGCAAAGAGGTAGAGCTTCAGTAAAGTGAAGCAGAAAATCATGTTATAAGAAAAATTAAGACAAAATCCACAGAATTATGGAAATGGAAGCTACATAAAAGAGAAAAGTCATACTGGTGAATAAAAAACATTGAGATGTAAGGCTGCATATGCTCAAATAAAATAGTGTAGACCAAAATATGCAAAATACTTTCAGATTTCACAGGAAAGAAGTGAAATTCAAATTAGTAACTCAAGTTACTAATTTAAAAGGAGATTAGTAATTGGTTCAGAGATTTAAAATATGTAATATTTTAAATTCATGAATGTGTCCTCAAATTTGTTAATGAAAGTAAAGATGGTTAAAAAATTATAAACTATTAAAATATAAAATAACTATAAAAGAGTTTGTGTGTATTGAGCAGGATAACTGGGCAATTCCTGTATAGTCTATGAGACAGAGGCTCTGAGCCATTGCTAATCATAGGCCCTAAAAATATCATCATGTCATTGTAGTTTGTGAATTAAGACAGGCTTTGGTTCACATCTGTCTCACAATAAGATGAACACTGTGCTACATTAATAGTTTCTAGGGCTCCAAAGTGTAGAGTAGATTGGAATAATTCTTCTAAACTCAGAGAAAACTTGTTCTACATTGTACCTCTGTGCAAAAATGTGTACAGTAGCTCATGTATTTGTATGGGTTTGGGAGCAACAGTATACCATCTAGCTTATACCATATGTCATAAACCATGGTTGGGAGCATATGCAAATCCAATTTCCAAGTGGCCTCCAAGCCTGTAAGCTCCCACTGAGCCCTGCACAAAGGAAGATTCTATTTCAGGTCCAGCACATACTTGAGATGATCACATGGATCTTCTGAACCAGCTAATACTAACAGAAGGATCTGTGGCAGGCCACAATGATCTGAGAAGCCTCTAGCATGCACACTGATATCAGTGCATGTTTTCAGATACCTAAAGTCGGTAATAACTACTTGAACCAGAATTTTGTACTTCATTTTTTCCATATTTATTTTTTCTAATTTAGCACTCTGCTATATAGTGCCATCATGAGAAAACATGCTTTCTGTTAACTATTTAAGGATAACATAAGAATTTTATAAGTCTGGGGCTGGGGATTTAGCTCAGCAGCAAAGCGCCTGCCTGGCAAGCGCAAGGTCGTGAGTTCGGTTCCGGTACCGGAGAAAAACCAAAGAATTTTATAAGTCAGTGAAACAAAGAACTACTTATAATTTTATACTATTATAATATTTTCTAATTCCTTTATAAACATGATATCATGTTGCCTCAGTTACCACATTCAATGTGTTAGCATTTTTATTATTTCACATATTGGCAAACTAAGGTTCCAAGATGCTGATTTGACCTAAGTTCCCAAGGTAGTGAGTAGTGGAGTGGTTAAAAGTCTGGGGAAAGCAGTAAAGTGCCTCAAAATGATGTGACCCTGTAAATACTCCCATAGATATATATAAGTCCTCATAAGTATCCTTGCACAACAGATTACATCCTGTTAATTTTGAACTCCACCTATTTCATAGATCATTACATGGTCTACAGAGGTGAGGGATGCAGAGAATGTTAATATAGTTTGATTCTCATCTGAAATGTAAAATGTTGCCATCACTAGTGATTTTTATATGAAATAGTAGAGAGAAGAAAAGAGGGGTGAATTAAGAAAACATGTATCACCACATAAGTCACCACATATGTAGCTGTTTAGCAGAAATTATTAAACAACTCATAGTTATATTCTACCATTACTTTTGCTATTCTTTTCATCTCTTCTGACAGATAATCAGTTGGAAATTTCTTCTTGATGGTATAATCAATGCCTTTATTCACATAGGATCCGTATTCTTTTTGTGGATCTGTCTTTGTTGAATTGCTATCATTACCTATTGAGTGACACGGTGGGGAATGAGGTATCAAAGAAAAGACAAGTACATTCCTTGGATTTCATACATTGTCTTTTGTGAGATGTGTGCTTCTTTACAGTTGTGCTTTATTAACATAATTTCTTTTTGATAATCTGGATCAAATACCCCTGCAGGTATAGGAACACTCTTCTCTTCATGGTGCCATAACATCATAAGGAGACCAGAATGCTGAGGAGGGAGGTTAATATTCTGATTTCACACAAATTTTGCTGTAACTTCTAATCACAAGCATCATCTCTTGAGCACAACCATCTAAATCAGTGGAGCATAATTTTGCATGTGTAACAGTCAAAATTATTAGAAATAACAGAGGTAGATTATGTCCTTTTTCCCTTTGCTGGTTTATCTTTGACATACAATTTGGCTATGGGGAAGAGTACACTATATGATGATGTGGCTACAACAGCTTACTGTGCCTCATCTTCAAGCTCACTCTTTATTGCATATTGTGGGATAGTGGAGTTAGACTCTGTAAGCATTTCTCATTTGCAGCTGACAAAGTTTTGTCAGTAGAGGATGCCGAAGGGACAGTGCAGAAGGCAAGAGCTTCTGTACTTACACCTACTTCCAGTGTGTACATCTTGTCAAACATTTGCAGTATGAAGCTCTGAGCCCAGGAGTGGACCTGCAGCACTATAAAGTGGTTTCCCAGCACAGCAAGCCTGAAAGCTGCTTCAGAATGAGTTGCTGTGTAAAGCATTTCCCGGCACGTGGCTACCCCTAGAAGCCTAGAAAACAGATTTCCAGTGAATGCTGCCAGTGAGTTTTCTGTGGCCAGGTTTCCATGGCACTCCAAAAAGCCACATCTCAGTGAGTACCAAGATCTGACATCTCCTGATGAATAACTTTCTCTGGCATCTCAAAAGATAGCTTCCCAGTAGTTCAACTAGGGTGACACTGGCCTGCTGAGTACCCAATCTTCCAAAAGAAGACAACATAAATGAGCCCTAAAATGACACAATTCTTAAGGGAACCATCTCTCTACTCTGTGACAGATTGATTACATTGGCCCTATTCCATAATTGAAGGGCTCCGAGATAGCCTTTCACCAAAATAGATACATAATCTGGATGTAGATTTTCTCTCTTTCACTGTAATGATTCTGCTGGCACCACTACCGAGGATCACAATGTTCCAAGAAATATT